CAGGTCTCATTGAAAAAAAAAAAAAGACAAATGAAAGAAAATGAAGGGAGAGGTATAAGGAGAAAAGATGAGATAGAGCTTGCATAAGTATCTGACTTCAAATATAAGAAATCTAAAATGCAGACTAAATTAATCTGTAAAGATCCAGAGAGCAAATCTGGACCACGGGTGGAAATTATTAGGAAACAGAATCTTGGTTCAACAGAAAAAAAAGAGCTTTCTCATAATGAATGCTTTTCAGGAAAATAAGGTAGTGAGTCCTCTGTCACTAGGAGTGTGTAAACAGAACACCCACCTGCCTATGATGGGATTAGTTTCAGCTTAAGTGGGTGGCTCAACCAGACAATTTCTATTCTGTGGTTCTATGAAATCCCAGGGAAGGCTGAGGGAGGTGGAGTGCTCTGCAGAGAGGAGGGGACTTCTCTCTCACGGGTTGTCCAGGGAGACACTGCAGTGTGCTGCAGCGGTGGCTGGTGGAGCAGCAGGATGCTGAGCTGCAGTTAAGGTCCCTGAGGCCTCTGCTCAATGCAAGACAGGTTCTCCTTCGAGCCCATTGAAACCACCTGCACCTTGAGCCTTGGGTCAGAGGCTGCCAGGTGTGGGTGTGGGTGTGGAGGGACAGCTGCAGGCAAGGGCAAGACTGGAGGTTAGCAAGCAGAAGAGGATGCCCAGGTAGGGGCCAGGTAGGGGACAGGCAGGAGGTGGGTGGTGGTAGCACCAAAAGCAGATAGGGCAGGCAGGTAAGGAGGACTGAAACAAGAGGGAAGTGTCAGGAAATACCCAAGGGTTCCTGGTGACTTGGCTCTGTTATGTATTCACTCTAGGTCTAGAAGGGGCCCGTGGTCTGGGGACAGAGCCATCAGTAAAGGGCATCTCCCTGAATTGGTTTATGCTTTGGGGAATGACAGCAGCTTTGGACACGTCTGTTCAATCTGGACCTTCTCCCCAGAATGGAGGGTCTGTCCCCTACTCATCCTCCCATGTGTCACTCTCAGAAGCAGAGCCTGGGCTGCCTTGGGATGGCAGCTTTGGAGGAGGCAATCTGAAGAAGCCAAGGCCCAGAGCAGAGGAGCAGGACCTCTTGGCCACCTCTTGGGTAAGGGCCCAAGCCTGGCCCTGGAAGAAAACATCCTGACAAGGTAGAAAAAGAAATGCTCTCAGCACCAAACTTGAGGAAGGAGGGAGGCCTCACAGCTCCACGGTTCTGCACCAATTCCTGATTCATACAGTCCCTGCTCACCTGCAGGAAACACCAGAGCATTCTCCAGCACCACTACTGCTGCCCAGGGGAGGGGCAGAAGTGAGCTTTGTCACACTCTCCTGCCAGGCCTTGGGGAAGCCCTGGAAGCATCTAAAATGGCTCTGGGTGGAGCCTCTGACACTGAGGTGCATGGTGAATTTGCACACACACCTGTCTGCTCTCAGCAGCCATTCTTTGGAGAATTAACAACATCTCTTCTACCCTCCTACCCCCTAAAGAACTGAATATGAAGGACATTTCATCCCCCCCACGACTCAGAGCATCCAAGAGCACATTTTCTGGAGTAACTCTCTCCTTCTGCCCAACCCCCCACAAAAAAACCCATGGCAACCAAGTGGCTTAGAAATGGGTAGCTTCCTGCCTTTCTTCCTCAATCCTATTTGTCCTGTGCTTCTGAGGACCTAAATGTTGTCATGGTAACCCTGGGGTGGGTGCCAGACACCTTCTGTGGGGAAGTACGACTAGGAACTCCAAGTTCCTAGGCTCTTTCACACCTAACCTTGGGCAGTCTTAACTGCTCCACCTTGTCCCTTTCTCTAGGAGGACAAAATGGAAAAACGCTGAACTTTCCAGGGAGTCCACAGGCAGATTTCACTTGAGATCCTTGGGGCCAATGAGGAGGAAGAGTGTGGTCTGGGGACGTTTCTTTATGCACTAATTCAGCTGTGCACTAATCTAAGTTCTCTTGAAGCCACCTAGGACATTTTCAAAGTTTAATCGCCACCACCCCCCATCCCTAAAGGGTATGATTGAGCCAAGCAAGGCTCTCTTTCACTCGCAAATGGGGAAACTGAGTCCCAGAAGAGAACTGAGAGCTTAAGACTTCTGGACAGGCAAATGTGGAATGCAGCTTCCTGGCCTGCCCTAGATGCAGGCCTGGTGGCCTTCTGGGAGACAAATTGCCTGATGTGTAAGATCGGCCAGGTTCCAGAGGCATCTGATTTCCTGGAATTGGTCTCTTTTCTCTGGGATCTACCCCTCAGTCTTCTTAGTTTCTACAGTTCCCCAGGGGGACCCTGGTTACTTGGCAGCTTCCAAGGCTGGAGAAGGGACAGGGAACCTGCTTAGACCATCTGGGCCCCAGCTGATTTCTGGAAAGAGGATGATCAGGTTTCATTTTTTTCCCCTTTATTCCAGAAAGGCTCTTTTTTGGGGTTACCTCACCTCCCCACACCCTCTGCCTCAGAAATTGGATCTAGGTACCTTCTTAGGTCTGAGATAGTCTCAGGGAATGAGCATAACCTGACACTGAGACTCATGGGTGGGGACAAATACCCTTATCTCCAGCAACAGGGAAATAGCCATTCCCTCCAGAGGCCACACTGCCCTCCAACAAGGGCCTATCCCCACACTGGGAACACCCTCACAGGCCCTGCAAAGTTCATTGGGTATATTGTCCCCTTCACCCTCATCTGATCAGTCCATCCTCCAGGTCCACCTTCACACAGAAGTTGGCCTGGAGTTACCAGCTGCACCCATAGCTGATGCCAAGCACAGTTCTAGGGCCTGGGCCCATACCCTACCTCTTAGCTGATGACAGTCCGGCAAGCTCCTCAGACTTTCCACCCCTGAATCTCCACCTGTGAGAAGCCCCTCAGCTCTCCATGGGGTCATCAGGACAACTTTGGTGGCCCATGCACAGCACACATAAGGAACTACAGTTCAGCTTCCCCTGCCACCCTCAACCAGCTCTAGGCCGATTTGTTAGGGTTTCCATGGTTACCCCTTTTGAGAAGCAATTAACAGCCCAGCTCCTGGGGGTAGTGTGGGGACTGCCAGGTCTAGGAAGGGCCAGATCAGCTAAGCCAACCAAACAGGGGAAGCCCTGACCTTGAAAGTGGGTTTGTGCCTTCTGCTATTCCATGCCCCTATCCACTTCCCCTGCCCAAATCACAGTGAAGGTCCGCCCCCACTCCTTTTAGTCCTTCAGGCAACATTCATCCCAGTCAGCCTGGTGCCTCCTTCTCAAGCTTCAGTCACAATTGGATTATCACTTCCTTAGAGAGGCCTCAGCAGGCCTGCCCAGTATCTCTCCAGCACACAATCCAGTTTCATCTTCTTCATCACCTGGAATTATTTTATTCATTAGCGACTATCTTGTCCCATTGGACTACAAGCTCCTTGAGGGCAGGGCCTCTGGCCGACTCAGCAGGCAGTGAGCACAGGTGAGGCTGCCTTGTCACTGATGCACCCCCATCCCCCACCTCTACTCCTCCCTGCTGAGGCCTGAGCTTTCAGGGGCTCTCCAGGGACAAGACTGCTCTTCCCCTTTTGCCCTTGCCCAGTTTCCTGATTGCCTCTGTAAAACCCATCTGCAGCCTCCTTCGAGAGGATCCATTCTCAGAAAGGCCAAATCCTTGTCCCTGGTCAAGGGATCCTTATCCTGGCCCACACTGGAGTTGGGGGGGGGGCAGGAGTGGGGGCAGGAAACCTGCAGCAGGCCAAACCCATCTCCCTCAGCTTCTCATTCTCCTGGCAGCCAGGCAAGTTCTTCCTTCCATCCATCCGGCCATCCATCCATCCAGCCATCCATCCCCACCGGCCCGCCCATCACTCGACTCCGCCCCTTCACACGCGCACAGACACGCCCCTTCCCAGCCCCCAGCGGGGCAGCCAGCCTGCAGGGTACTTGGGAAGGGTCCCTAGGCGCCCGGGCCTGGGGATCCACTTTCTAGGCACCGCAACAAGTCTGTTCAACCAAGGCGGTTAGCCTGGGCTCCAAGCCTTGCCGCCGTCCGCGCGTGGCCCCAGCACCGCCCATATGGGCTCCCAAGGCACCGCAGCCTTATGTCCTGCACATCCTGGATCTGTCCCTCTGTGAGGGCACCGGCCCTAGGGAAAGCAAGAGCACTTCCCCGGCCTGCTCCGGGTTTTTTTGCATGAACTCTTCAGGCTCAGAGAACAATGGAGCAGCTCTCTGTGCTTCCTCCACTCCAGCAAGCTTTGTTCTTCCCTTCCCGCCTGCTCGGCTTCCATTAGCCAAAGGGCAAAGGCTGCCCTGTCAAACAGAGGTCTGGGTGCAAAAGCCTAGACCTTCCACTAAACGACCTGGGGTGGGAGTGGGGGTAGGGTCTGGAGCTAGAGCCTGGGCTGAGGTATAGGAGGCGCATCCAGATGCGCGCAGCTGGCTGTCCGCCCGCCCCTTGGCCCCAGACACTTCTCCTTGCCAGAACCCCCACACCCGGGAAATCCGACTCGAGCTTCCACCCGGGATCCAGAGGAAGTGGAGCCTCAGCTCTGCTTCAGGGCCAACAGGCCTTCACATCTGCTGTCTTCACATCTGTCCTCTAGATCTAGGCTCTCCCTGGACGCTTCCCTACCGGTGCTGGTTGCTATCTGGCACAGTGCAGACCACTCCACAGCTGTAGTCTCCACCAGCCCCAGATATTGTCTCTTTAGGATTCCGGACTTTAAAATTCGAGGAAAACAATGGAAACCAATGGGCTCTATGTCTGAGAATCTAAGTCCTTCACCCCATTGTCCGGGTTCACCTCCCGCAGGCCAGAGTAGGGCCTGGACTCCAGCCAGGTAACATCTTTAAGACGTACTTTGTGCACATCTAGAGGTGGGTCTGCACATCTGGGCTCAATACCCCCTCTAATCTGACCAGTGATCAGGAGAGCCCTACGGAGCTGGGGCAAGGGAGGAAGCTCCGACCGTACCCACCTCGCTCGCACCTTCCCCTGCAGCTGGCCAGAAGAGCTCCAGGGGCGGGGTGGGGCGGGGCGGCAGGACTTACCCAGCATCTGGCTGAAGAGCAGCTGCTCCAGGTCGCCCAGTACAGTTACCACGAGCTCGGGGTCCACCTTGAGGAAAGCGCGCTCCTCCTGGCCCTTGGCGGAGGGCACAGGCCCAGAACCCTTTTGCGCCTTGGCCTTGCTGGAGAGCAACTCATCATCCGATTTGCCGTCGTCGCTGACCGCCGCCTCTGGCGCCTTGCTGAGCGGCTTGACCTCCGCATAAGGTCCGCGTGGGATCCGGCTGGGTTTTCCCAGGCTGGGCGCTAGAGGAGCTAGGGGGGTCTTGGCGCCGCCCGCCGGGCCGCCTTTGGCCTGGAAGAGTGAATGCTCGGACTTGGACAGCGTCTTGGACATCAGCGGAGTCTCGCGGCCCTTGGACCCCATCTTGCCTAAACCCTTGGGTGCCTTGGCCATATCGTCGCTCCACTCGGGCTCATAGAGCTGCAGCTTCTTCTCTGAGTCTGTGAGGAACGAGAGGTTGGTGAGCGACTTCTGTTTGCGCAGGTTGGAGGCCGGTGGACCGCCGGGAACACGGCTGTCCACGCTACCGGACTTGAAGACCTTCAGCTCAGCAGCGCTGGCCTTGGCCATGCTGCCACCGCCGCCCGGCGCCTTGGCGCGCTTGGGCAGCATGCCTCTGCCGTCCGCCGCGGCCGCCTTCCTGCCGGCTCCTCGCGGCTCGTCCGCGCCCTCGTCGCCGCCGCCGCTCAGCTCCACCTCGGGCTGCGCGCTCTTGACGCTGCTGCCCAGCATTCTGCCCGCGAGGAGCGCATGGACGATCCGCGCGTCTGCAGGCACGGGGAGGGGGGAGGGGGCGGGGGCGCAGGGAGGAGGAGGCGGCAGAAGAGGAGGGGGAGGGAAAGGACGGAAGAAACCGAGGAAGAAGGGAAGAGGAAGGGGGAGGGAGCAAGGGAGGAGTGGGGCAGGCGAGCGGAGGGAGCGGGGAAAGAAACGCGGGGAAGGGAGACCGGGAAAAGGAAAGAGCAGGGAAACCGTGAAGCGATGGGGCGGGGTCGGAGGAAAAGGGGGCGGGGCGGGAAAAATACAAATTAAAAAATTTAAATCAGTCAAAGAAAAGATGGAAACCCCGCTGCTCCATCGAAGCCTGGAGCGGGATCTTGGCCGCCCTGGCCGGCCTGTCAGTCCCGCGGGCAGTGCACTGCCCGGCAGCGCCCTCGCCGCACTCCGCCCGCCTTGCTCCAGTAGAGGCTGCAGGCTGCAGCTCCGAGCCCGGGAAGGAGGGGAGGCGAAGGCGGGGAGCAAACAGGAGGAGGGGAGGAGTGAGCGCGAAGGGAGGGAGGTGGGGGAGAGAGAGTGTGTCTATTTCTGGCTCGGGAGGGGGAGGTATCTGCAAGCAGGCGCTCCAGGGGCGGATGAGTGGGGGGTAGGGGGCACATAAAGGATCCCACTAGGTTTTCTTCTCGCTTTCCGCGCCGTGGCAAGGCAGGTTCTTGGAGGGCACGGGTGGTCCCCTGCCGCATCCGGAAGAAAGGATTGATTGAGGAAATGTGGGGGTGCAGGTAAAAGGGACTGAAGAGGGCAGCTCGGGATAAAAGGGCAGAGAGTGGGACCTGAAAAGACATTGGGAAGGTCCCTGCCCCCTACCCAAACCATCCTTGGTTTTCCCACAGGAAATTCCCATCCTACCTTACTTTAGTCTATGAGGCACAAGGTTGCCTTCCTGAACCCAGAAGGTAGGGGACAGGAGATAGGACAGGGGAGGCTTGGAGAAGACAGGGCCAGGGGTTTGCTGGGGAGCCGACTGAGCTCTTTGGAGGAAGGGACTGACCCTTCGGATGAGAAGACTGGGTTCCGTTTCTGATTGACTGCATGACCTTGTCAAAGTCATTGAACCCCTCTGGTTGTCTGTCCCTCTCACAATGATTATAATACCAGCTTCTTAGGTAAAAGAGCTTTAGAACTTAAAGCCCTCTGTCAAACCAGGGGGAGGATGAGCCCTGGTCCCTTACCTGCCAGAGCTGAATCAGTGCTGCAGAACCATTTAAAAAGACACTTATCCAACCCATCTCTCTCCCCTCCGCACCTCCTGGGCCCAGGGAAGAGGGAGCAAGAACCAAATGGTAGGCAGCATTTTGCCTAGGACAGTAGAGGGCCACACTGCTAGTCTTCCCAGGTCCTCCCAAGACCAGGTTGCCTGAGCAAAAGGCTCTCAGGAGAGGTGAGGGACAGCAGAAAGTGGAGGGGAATTCTGAATGCAAAGCTTGCTTCAGAAGGGGCAGGCTCCAGCTGGAGCTGTGGGCTGGGGATTGTAAAGCCCTAAGAACTCTACCAGAATGTGGTAACTATCAATTACTCTCCATCCCCACCACCCCCAGGATCTTCTAGCTTCTCCCTTTCTTCCTGCTAGATTTGAAGACCCCTGGGTCTACTGAGTCTTCTGGTTCATTCACTCTCCTAGTACTAAGCATCAAGCCCTACCTAGTGAGAGGGGTACTTCTGTATGCATCTGTCTCCCTACAGCATAGGAGCTCTCCCAGCATGGAGCTGTCTCTCCAGCATTTATGTGGCGCAGGTATCTCAGCAGTGTTGGTTAAATGGATCCCAAGGCCTGCCTGGTAGATACCGGGTTGGTATCCTGCATGATCTTTTGGTCCTGGCGGTAGCCCAAGACTCCCTGCCTTCCATGATCAAAGGGTTGAACTGAGATACCACAAAGTCTTCATGTACAGGAATCTTGGCCAAGAGAATGTGCCTACCCAATACTGAGAATATAGAATTCTCAAGCAGAAAGGTGTTTGGTAAGAAGCATGGACCCTTGGCTGACCTTGGAGATACAGAGAAAGAGGGAGATTCTAGCCTCAAGGAACTCAATGTCTGGCAGGGAAATGCAAGATAGACAATACAACACTTAGGGAAATAGTAGTCTGGTCCCTATGAAAAAGCAATGTCACACATTCATCACAGGTAAGCAGGAACGATAAGAGGCACCACCTCAAAGCAGTAGAGGAAAGGAGTCCGGTAAAAGAATTTGCCAGATAGTCCTAAGGCAGGGGCATGAGGCACACCATTCTCAGAGGCCCGAGTCCAAATCTCAGGAAACTCAGGGTGGAGCTAGGGCTTATGAGTCCAGATAGGAAATGACCAGCAATAAGGAGCTGGTTAAAGGGATGTAAGTCGTATCACGCCAGAACTTGGCCAGGCTCCGAGCCAAGGGATGAGGCCAGTCATGGGACACACGAGATACTCAGGCTTCTGCATGAACATGAGATCCCAGTTCAAGCAGGGGATCAAGCCCCAACTTTGATGCCAAATCTTTGAGTAAACATGACCACTCCCTTCCTCCCCATCCCACAGGCCACTTGTAATAAAATTGCAAACCATCACTTCCAAAGTCCTCATCCTTGTGCACTCATTCTCTAATTCATACAAGATGCCCCTGATTCAATCACATGGAACCTCACCTTTCCTAAAAATAGCTATTTGAGAATCTGAGGATGCCTATTGTATGATTGACTAGGTTACACTAGCTCTTGATCATTGTCTGCAGGTTTCTTCCTGCACATAAATTCATCTCCTCCTTAGCAAAGAGAAATTTACGGGTAATAATCCTGGTTGAAAACCATCATGTGCCCTGTGACCTATTCCACCCAGTGTACTCTGCTGCAGCCCCTTTCCTTGCTGAATTTGGCCCCTCATCTCTGGTATCCACGTCTCTAAATGAAAGTCTTCAGAGTTGCTATGAAACACTCGTCCATTTATTGCTCTGTTCATCTGCACTTCCTTGACACTGGATGCCCACTGCCCCTGGGACCTGGCCTGCTTGCCTTCCTTTCTGGTTACCTCACTCCCTCATCTGATGCGTACGTAGTTCATCCTAGTGGCTCTTTCTTTGTTCCTTTGTCCCTCCTCTCATAGGATGGCATATTTCCCAAATCCCTTAATAAACACCTACTGAAATTCTCCTTATTGAGAGGGGAAGAACAAGTTGCCCAGAAAAAGGCACAGCCTCCTCCACACTATCAAAACCTGCTGCCCCGGGGCGGGGGCGCGGAGGGGGGCTGGGGTTATGGCTCAGTGGTAGAGTGCTCGCCTAGCATGCATGAGGCACTGGGTTCGATCCTCAGCACCACATAAAATAAAGATATTGTGTCCACCTAAAACTAAAAAATAAATTTAAAAAAAAACCTACTGCCCCAGTCCCTCCTTTGTGACACATCACCTGACAGATCCAAGATGGAAATCACCAGTGCATCTCCTCTGTCCACACAGTATGCTTTCCTTCTGTCATTTTTTAAAAGGGTTTTGCTATGACCAGGTAATGGTTTCTTTAAATAGTCATCTTGGCATCTTGGAACTTTCTGACACTCCCTAACGGGACCTCTCCCTCGGTCAGTCTCTTTTTTGATTCCTTTCACATCCCCTGAGTTTCCCACCATCCTCTTCTGCAGTGGGAGAGCTCTGCTGCTGTGGCAACAGTCATTCGGCATCAGTCGATAACGCCAATATGATAAAGCCAATATGTGCAGAGCGTTTCCTCGAGTCATTCCTAAAAAGAGAGGGACCTGCCCTGTCACACTATCTCCAAGCCCAGCCCCAAGCCCTCCCACTTGGCCATTTTCCCCTTTCTCACAAAGAGCCATCAAAGATCAACGAAGGGGCTATGTGACCAGGGAAAGGCCGGGCTGGGCCGGCAGTGGGCGCTGGTGATGTCAGTAACCTGATTCAGGGGGTTGGATCCTGCCCAGTTTCTAAAGGGAGGTATGGAAATAGGAATCCTGAAAGTCTCCAATCCCCAGCTCCCCAAAGACAGGCTTATCACCCCACTCCTCTCTTTCTGAAGGCATTGGCAGATTCTGGGCTGGAAATAGGATGAGTGATTTGACCACATCTGTTGACCAATAACTTAATGCAATTTGAGGAATGAAGATGTAGGCTTATGGCCAAGGAGAGGCCTGCTGGGTGATTTTACATTCTCACACTCCTGTGATTGGAAACGGATGTAATCCAGGGAGTCTGTGGGGGGTCTGAGTCCAGTGCCTGTTAGAGAGGGGTTAGGGGGAGCTGGGGGAGGCAGTGAAAGAGAAAATAGGGTGGGAGGGAAGACTAGACTGCTCCCCACACTGTTAACCTTGCAAGGTGACTTGGGAGCAGAGGGGATCTGGGGGAGGGAGGAGTGGGCAAAGGAGTCCACACTTGGCTCCCTCCAGGAGTAAGGGCAGAGCAGGGCTGAGGGAAGGTGTCCTTGATTTCTGTCCCCACAGTCCAGATCTGGGGAGCGAGGGCTAGGAATCCAGACACGGCTCTGAACCTAGCCCACCCACCCTGAGTCAAGGTGTCACCAGCCCCATAGAGCTTTCCCTGCTCAGACCCCATGATATGGTGTCTTCATCATGGTCCTAGCAGATACCAACATCTCAGCCCGTATAGAAAGCCTTCCAGGGCTGGGATTGTGGCTCAGTGGTAGAGCGCTTACCTAGCACATGCAGGGCCCTGGGTTTGATCCTCAGCACCACATAAAAATAAATAAACAAAATAAAGGTATTGTGCCCAACTACAACTAAAAAAATTATTTTTTAAAAAAAAGCCCTCCAGCCATTAGTCCCATTTCCTTCTGCCCTTTTCTCCACCATGCCATTTTCCCATGTCATTCTACCTTTCAGCAGGGACTTCTTAAGCACCCCAAATGTGTGCAAGGCCAGACTAGATAGAGGCTGCTGACACAGCTGATGTTTGAGCACAATCTCATCTGCACCCAGACAACCAGTTTCCCCTGCTCGTGCCTTGCTCAGGGCCCACTACAAGCGCCAGAGGATATGGCAAGTGATGA